TTATCCACTTTTTGTACATTAAAAGTTTCTTTATGTTGCTTGAAATTCTCAATTTCGTAGATAGATACGTATTTGTAACGAAAAGCGTGGCAATGCTATGAAAGTAACAAATTGTTGACAGTTTTGTACTTGAATAATTTTTTAGCTTATTCAGTCTTATAATATATTTACGTCATGGAATCATGTATAACTACATTGAAAAACATTAAACATATTTCTTGTTGAATTTACTTTATATGTTTATTGTGTTAAAATTAGAGAAAAACACGTCAGTGTTTTTACCTTACGAGGCATTCGAAGTCGTTATATTACGAGACTCACCCTGTATATAGTGTCATATAAAAAAATTTTATTCGTCTCTCATATTTTTAACTATTTTCACGTTACCCAGAAAGTAATAATAGTTACGGATTAATGTATGAAGAATGTAGAACAGCTATACAGTAGAAGTAGTTACCATAGTATCGGAGGTACTCGTAGAACCCAAAGCGGGCGTAACACAAAGTAGAGAGTTCGAAGACACCTGCTCCTGTTTCCTGTTACCGAGACCCTTAGGGGTTATCCAGCAGCTGCGCGAGCCCTTTAACATCCACCGCGTTGCTGATTAATCTCGTCTGGTTGGCGTGTCGGTGCGCGGCGATAATTAATTGGAGCAATGAACATCTTTCGCAGGGGTGACCATCCTCCTGTCCCTCACTGTGTTCCTGAATATGGTGGCTGAAACGATGCCAGCGACGTCGGACGCCGTACCTCTGCTGGGTAAGCCCCCAAATAAATCAAACAGTCAGCCGTTCTTCTTTTTTCACTAGCCTAACGAAAATGGTAGAGTCGTTCTGCTCTCGTCTTCGTTTGAATAGCGTCAAGTTATGCGGTTCGCGTAGAACCTAGCGGAACAATAGGATCGTTTGAAGAGTACCTTGGCTGCGATCCTCCCGGCTCATCCATAATTCACAAGAAAAGTCAAACATTGAACCTGAAACAGGACCTCATTCGACATTCGGTGAAAATTGTACACGCGGTTATTCCCACTCACGATTTCGAGAATTTTTTTATGACCCTTAATTCTCGCTCGTGATTACCTTCGCGGTTTACTAGTCCTGCAAATACACGCGTTCGATTCCGCAGTTCCATCGAAAATTTGGATTGACATTAAATAATGCATCGAAACCTTGATTATCTTCCGGCCCTCCACCACCAGTTTTATCCGGACGCTTCATCGCTCGGAGAATGTATTTTCCAGTATCACGGCCTCGCGTTCATCTCCGTCATTGAATAAGTTACAACGGATCATTGATGATTGGCTACTTTTCGTTGCGTCATGAATATGCAAAAATCGATTATTCTGCGATAAGCAGATTGAATAAAAATGATAAAACTTAAACAGCATCGATTACGATATTACATACATTTTTTAATATAAAGAGTCTGCCCGCTCTCTCATTTTCAAATATTTATTAAAATGGCTCGAAAAAATATTAGCACACTTTTTAAAACGCAATAACTTTTTTAATACTGGACCAAAAAACATAATTTTTTGTAGGATCCTA